TCACTCGACGCACTCAATGATTTGGAACGACTGATCGCGATATGCAGGGAAAGTGTTCGCGAAGGGAGTGAAGGAAACATTGAGGATGTTCGCTCGCTGTTTAGAGAACTGGAGAATCAAGACAATCTTGAGATTGACTATCTCGATGTTGTGAAGAACATTCTAGCTGAAACAGAGTCAAACGAGCTTTTGAAGGAACTTGAAGAGTTCGAAGAACGAAGAAATCAGGAAGATAAATCCGAAGCGAGGAAAGGTATTTCAATCTCTGTTTTCTGTTTTTAATGGTCAACAATAACTTTGATATGTTCTCGATGAAAAGTATAAAAAGCCCTTGGTATTTGTAGCGCTCTTGTCTTCTACAAGCTGTACATCATCCGGGTTTGAACGAGGAAATAATTAAAAATTTTTAAGTACGGCACACTATTAATCTTCGGTTGTAGGAAAACAACACAGCAAATAAATGCGACAAAATATGAGAGACAAGTTGTTCCTTTTTGTAGACACATAACAGTCTGGTCTAAAAGTCTGAAAGTCTCGCGTTTGTTTCGTATGTTGGTGGACTTGTTTCACTTACTCAGTTAACGTGCATGACGTGAAATCAACGCAATAATTGAACCGTGTTGAAAATTAACAATTGAGGATCTTGCGATAACCTCTCATACGCCCAACCGGAAACGTAAAATGATCTGATTAGTCCAATTTCGAGTAAGTAGCTCAATTTTTGCCCGAGACCTGTATTTTTAGATACTTTCCCGTGATTTAGCGCTTATCTGTTACCCTTTTTACGGCTATCCCGATTAAGAAAAGTTAAGAAAACTCACTATTGTAGTAAGTTCATGATTATTGTCTATAATATCGTCAATTATTTCAGTTTTGTCGGTTTATAAGGAATTTATGAGCTCTGATAGTACGTGCAGTGATTTGACGACCATTGACCGCATGGTATACTGATAAGTGGAAACGTTTAGATCAATTATTCCCGCTTCGCTCTTTGATTGTTTTGTTAATTACTGGTTGATTTAGTTAAGTAGATTGTATTGTGCATGTAATTTCAGATCGAATAAAAATCAGTTATACGATTGCGAGTATTCTTCGGTGACGGGTCGTCTTGGTTTTCTCGCGAAAAACTTAGCCCTCGAAATTTTCTGTTTACCAATTAGTAGAAGTTGACAATACTTACTGAATTAATCGCTTCGTTAGGCTCACGGTTATCTTTGCCACCAGACAATCAGCTGTCTTCATAAGATGAAATTCTATCTCATACAATTCTGATAAATTAATTGAAAAGAATTAACCCAATTTCAAATGTGAAATTTAAAAACGAGCACCAGAACTTTGAGGGCAACGCTTAAAAAAACTTATCTCTGTGATAGATGAGCAGGTCAGTTTGATCCCCAACAAACAAACTTACTTACGATCCTACTTGAAGTGCAAAATAGAAGAAGAAAAATAAAATAGAAGTAGAAAGATCCTGCGACAGCTTTTTTCTATGTGGGCAGGAAGAGTTGTAGTTCACTAAACTGACTGACACCTGCTGTTCCATTTATATAGCACAAAGAGCTGCTCTTATGTCATCCGTCAGAAGCACATTGGTAGGAGGTAAGCCAGTTAAAAATTTTTCCCGGTAAATTCTCTCAAAAGGGCTCACCCTGTACCTTTGACACGACAGTTTTAGTTAATAAGGGAGGAGAGGACGGGGCCGTTATCACAGAGTCTTGGCTCCAACAAAGAGTCGACATGAAACGCATTCTTTTTTGCGGTTCGAATTAGTTGGAAAAACAACACCACTCTCCTTTGCTATTTAACCTGCTTAGAAAGAGTCATATCTCAAAACACATACATATTTTTTGATTTTCAGTGGTGAACATTAAAACAGTATTCAAAGCAGTTGCTGGCGGCCTCACAGTCGTTTCTGCCATGGAGGTGTTGAGTCGTTGGTCCTCATTTGATCAGCTGATTGCAGCCGTACAAACCTGTGTGCTTCCAGCCGGCACAAGGCTGGTTCAAATCACAGATGGCTGTGTGTGCCTCACAGTTCAAGCTGAAAGTTTATCAGCTCTTATTATTTTGTGGAAATTTTATCAGGATGGAACTCTTCAAAAAAATCTGCACGATTTCTTTGTCACTGATGAGGTGAGAGAACTCGCCGATAGAAAGGATGTGGAGGTGAATGTCACCATCGATGTAGACGAATATCACAAAGCTTGTATCGAGTTGATGAATGGAGCTCAAGGTATTGTATGTTGTACAATTGATTTCTTGCTCCTGTCGCCTGCCCTTCTCAGTCAGCTAAAACGTTTTTAGCGTCCAGTTGATGGATGAGTGGTAGGTCGTGAGAGACTAGTGCAGTCGTGATAGAGTTCAGCGTAAACCCTGCCCTTTCCCTAGTGAATTGAAACGTTTGTCAAAAGTTGCCATACAATAACAGAGGCTTATAATTCGTGCGAAGGTGTATATCTATGTACTATGTAGTTTCGGTTGATATTCCCCAGCGTAACCATGAATAGAATCCTTCAAAACCTTTTTTTTCACAACCCGTTTGACATTCGTTAGGCGTATGAATTCACGATCGAAAGGGCAGTTTAGGGAAACGCATAATAATACCGAATGCATATCTGACAAAAAATACATCTTTTATGCGATGGGGCGGTTCTGGTTACATGCATTAACTCTTACCCCGTTCTATAATGTTTAACTGAATTTTTATTTGCTAGATTTTACCCTTAAAACGTCTACTTAATATTTTTTCTTCTTTCGACTTCTCTCAATGCTAATTTTTTTCTGAATCTCTAAAAATGTTTTTATAATATGAACTTTGGGAATCTGTGACTAGCTACACGCCATGGATTTCATAAAATAAATGATGTGTGTTAATTGTAACTGATATTGGTATATTTTCGATACTTTCGAGAAATGAGCTACACAAAAGAAAAATCCATATCTGTGGACACTTCTTTGATCGCTTTCACCAAATCTGTCTCCCTCAGATCATAACACTAAGTAATGATTTAGTATGTTTTCGTGGTCTCCGCAAACACTACTTCCTTCTTTTTCTTTTGATTAGCTTGTTTGCCTGTTTTTGTTTTGTTTGTAGAAGTTGAAGTCACTAGACAAGAGGAACGAACACGGAGAAACTCTGATTCAGTTCTGTATCCCGGCGTCAAGGAGGAACTGTCAATGTTAAAGATCAAACGCGTCCAAGCAGCATTTAATCAGAGAATGGAAGTTATGGAGAAAGAAATTGAAGAGGTTTCTTTGAAGGTTTTTGGAGATCGTAGTGCTAAGAGGCAGCAAACCATATTCAGAAAAATACCCAACGAGCTTGAAGGTAACGATGTAAATAGTGTATGAGTGCATATTACAGCGTACTTGAAAGCTTAAAATCGATCTGAAGCGAATAGAAGAACACGAGTGTGATTCTTTCTCAGAGACCAAAGCGCAAGAACTTAAAGAAACCGAGAAAGGATTCGAAGAGCATCGATTGTGGCAACCACCTAAGGTCGAGCCAATGGATATGGAGAAGTTTTTCCATGTACAAAAGTATCTGGAAGATGTCCATGAAACTTGTAGTGTGACGACTGAGGCGAGTGACAGTGCTCTGAGTACACAAGCAACGGTATCCGAAATTGAAACAGAAGAAGTTAGCGGTAAGAAAACTGATTGATTTTTAATAATATTTATTTATTACCCCAAGAGCAAACGTCAGTCTTGAAAATCCATAAATGCAAACTCCATGTTAATATACAGTGTACCTTTTGAAAGCTATGGAGGGGCACATCAAAAACGACATCAGAAGCTCTGAAAGAACTTCCATTTTGTGCTAACTAGCTCTAAAAATCAAAGACCAAAAGCGTAAGGAAGAAATTTTCCGTCCCTTAAATTTCTCAGGTGCACAGTTCAACGTGATATTAGTTTTACGCCTGATTTAATGATCATATATTTACTATAATATAATTTCGTCGGTTCAGGGAAATCCATCAAATAATAAAAAAGTTATGAAACTTTGAGTCGAATGGAACTTCTAGAGGTTAAAGAGTATTTTCTATTGTTGGGAGAGTGAGGTAGATTGGCTTACTGGTAATGTGTAGGCGAGACAGGAGTTATAAAGAGGAGATTATGCTAGTGTCTAAATCTCTCTTGTCCTTTTAGACTTTGTACAAATGGTAGGAAAAGGGAGTACGAAACTTGTACATTTGCAACGAAGGCTCTTCACGCACCCCGTCTCTGGGTGGTGATGGGTGGCTTTTAGGCTTTTAAGTTAAGCGGCCTTCCTATTAAACAAGAAAGTCGATTTAAAAATCTTTTTAAGAGTCAGCGTAACTCAGGCTTCGTGCAGCACAATTCACGTGAACGCAGAAAAATAAAGTGCTTAAGGGGAAGAAAAGTTGAGCGCGTAACCCAGTTTCTGATGTATTTTCGGGTTGTTTAATACAGGCTTATCCTCTTTTATCTTTAATTGTACTTTTCTATTTCATTTGAAGCAGATAGACTTTGCTTGAAAGATCTCAGTCAGTTGGTCACAGGTGAATTGAATCAAAGGCTTACGGCTGATGCTACTGCGATGGAAAAAGTCTCCCGTTTTTTTGGTTTAAAAGTTGATCCATTCTCTTTCTCCTTCCTTCATATTAAACATTTCTTTCCTGACACTACTGTGAGCGTGTTGAAAGAATGCTTTGAGGCCTTACGATTGTACGATCTCGCTGAGATCCTAGCAAAAGTGAAACCACGTGCACTTTGTCCTACGCTGTCTCCGGAGCAAGTGGAAAAATTGCAACTCGGTGATCGTCGCACGAAAAACTACCGCAACATGGCAGTTGTGGTAGTTGATGTTAGCTGTGAACATAGTAAAGCAAAAATGATTAAAACATTTTTTAAAGATCTAAACCCAAAAAACGAAGTAGGTGTAGTACCAGTTACTAATCTGGTAGAAAAGTATCTAGTGCTGGAGGACATCAGGCAGAAGAAGCGGTTGGAGATGGATGCGATCGCCTGCGGGAAGAGACTCAAACATCAGTTAGAAATGCATCTTTCTATGATGAGAAAGATGATTAAGGGGGAAGACCAGGAAAGCATGCTGAGAGTAATTGACCGTCGGTGGACGTATTCAAATCGTTTGAGAACCGAAGAACCTTTCCTAAGAGAACAACTTGAGAGCAAAATGAAAGAAATTACAAAACTTAGAGAAGAAATTAAAATTAGAACTAAGCTGACTGAAGATATTGGAAGGGAGAAAAGCGATGCAGAGTCGGCCTTGTTAAATGTCATGGACAAATGGATCCAAGATCAAGGTTGGTAAATTTGTACAAACTCTAGGAACATGACTATGGAAAGACGTGTTTTTAAGATCTTTCCGCTCATCTATGCATTATTTTTCTCTGGTGCTTTTTAAGTCCCTCGTTTTTATCCCATCGTCAAAAAGCCAGTTTCCGGTGGTCATTTAGAATATTATTTTTTTGGTACAATACTACGCGTTCTGGAGGCTGGATACCTTCGGAAACTGTACAAACGTTCTTGCATTCCAAATTTTGTAGAAATCATTGCGTACAAAATGGCCAACAAACTAAAACAAACAACCAAATCCAGTAGGTAGTTGTAATTGTTTTTTTGTGAAGAAGGTTGAATTGAATTTTATTTTTTTTTTGAACTTCGGAATTTTAAAAGATGAGGGAAAAAGCGCTGGACATTCATGGCTTAGGATTCTGTTAAAGCCTGAATTGTTTTCATGACTTGTTTTCACAATTGCTTTAATTGTATTTATAGCTGCATTGATCCTACTTGTTGTTTGTTACGTGATTCCAATCGAATAAGAGCGCCCCCGGTTTGCCGCTCTGATCATCGTTGGTTGCCCTTTCCGACTTATACGTCTTACACGGGTGTTTGTAGATCAATCCTCCTGGATCTAAGGGTTGACAAATACTGTCTGTTTGTTTTAACCACGATAGCTACTCACTTTGTCACATAGGTAGCATTCCTAACAAACACAGTAGCTCTACAAGTCACGTTCATGCTTGTAAACAATGGGTTCTAAACATTCGATGGATTGACATATAACACGGGGAGATATTTGGGAGTTGCTTGTTATTTCTTCGAGTAGGGGCGAGGAAAAGTAAGAGCAATTACCGTAACGTTCGCTCGTATTATATGTTAAATCATCGAATAAGGGATTTACTTTTCCATTGTCCGGTATTTTGGCTTGGAGTCTTTTCACTTCCTTCGCTTTTGAGCAATAATGGATAATTTTGTACTTGTTTGAATACAACTTATTGAAATGCCGCTGTTACAGCGTTTTGGGTATCCCCGCGTTTTAATTATCCCATACCCAAAGTGCTGGTGTCTTCGGCATTCCCTCTGGGGATAATCAGAACACTAAAAGTGAATTAAACGAGAGATTGTGGTAAGTATACCTTTTGCTGTTCATTACAGGAAAATACGAACCATTTGCGTGAAAAAGGCGAACGCTTGCGTGAAGTTACATTCATTAGCGACAAAAGAAAACGATCATTTGCGCGTAAATCAGATGCAATAAAATTCAGAACAAAATAAAATGGGAATGGGTATTTTTCAATCGGAATTCGGTATTTGAATACTGAATGTAAAAAACGCTCAATAGTCTGTACAAGCGAGTTAATTATTGTCTTCATCTTATTAACGCCATCTAGGAATGATATTGAATTGCAAATAGTGTAATAAAAATGTTAATAATTGGTTTATGTATTATACTGTTTGTGTATTATCTCAATTGAATTTCATGATGGTGTTAATGACTTGAAGGTTAGCGTTGACCTATAAAAATGCCCAAAAATGTACTTGAATGCTGGTTAAATTGCGAAAATCGCTATCGCGCACGTGATCGTTTTTTTCTCGCTAATGAATGTAACTTCACGCAATTGTTCGCCTTTTCACGCAAATTGATGCGTATTTTCAGTAGAAGGTGTACTTCGGCCAATCTCTTGTTTAATTTACTGTGAGTGTTCTAAGTACCTCCAGAAAGGATACTGGAAACGCTAACATTTTGGGTACGGGGATAATTAAAACGCGGGGATACCCAAAACGCTGTGACATCTCCAGACTCAATGAAACGTGAATCTTTTCGTGACGCAAGTGATAACTTCTCTAAAGGGTATGGTTAGGCGTTACATTTTGGGCGACCGCTCAGAGGAGGTTCGACTGCGTCTGCAGATTCAAACTTTTGTATAATTCTGGTGATAATCGTGTAGGATAATTTCCATGACGTCATTGCTTTTTCCTTTTTTTGCACACTTCTGGTTTATCTCGTTTGTTTTTGTTTTTCTTTCGTATACATTTCTTTCCTTTATTTTGTTTCTTTTCTAATTCAGTGATACGTTTATTGGTCTTCTGTTGTAGATGGATCCACCTTCATTGCGGTATTTTTAATCTGTACTGACAATTGGGCCCATAATTTTTTTAACGAACGCCTTCCTGAATCTATTGCGGAGAAGTTGGCTTCAATTCCAGATCATGGGAAACTTGTGGTGAGCCCTCCTGGATGGAAAAGTATTAGTAAAATTCCCGAAACCCTTCATATAATATTGAGGAAAGCTGGTAATGATCACGTCGGGAGGAGAGCAGACAACGATTCGCATTTTTTTACTTCATTCATTGAAATTTTCAAGAAGCGTTGGCCTTCGTTGGACCTTATTTCAATGATGAGAGAATTTAAAAGGACCTGGCCACATAATTTAGAAGTGAAGGACAATTTGTCTACTCTGCCACGGTTTTAGGAGGTAAACAAAGAGATTGTTGTGTAAATCATGGTTTATAATCTTATAATATCGCTAAGGACATAGGTATTTCTAATACCGTTTTGTTCCAGTCGTAAATATGGAAGTTCAAATTGTAAGAGGGCGGGCGACATTACATAATGGCTTCCCGTTTTGTTGTGTATGGGGAATAAAACAAATACTGCTTACAAGGTTAGTCCTTGAAACATTTTTCAACGAAACAACCAAATACGTGTAAACAGTCAGAACAATGAGTTTGTGTTTCCGCCCAAAACCAGCCCGAGAATAACAGGTACTTGTGCTTAAAACCACTATAAGCGATGTTTTAACAGGGTGTGAAAACTTGTGTACTCATTCAAAAGTGTGCAGCTCAAATGAAAAAATTAAATGAAATTACGAAAAGTAGTTTTAAATGCGGTAAAAGCCGCTTGAATTACTAGGAAGGTCCAGCAAACGGGACCAAATGTATACTTTTTTCTTGCACGAAAACTTATGAAAAAACATTCAGTATTATGTTTACTTGTACGGAAAATGAAGAGAAAATTTATTCATTGGAAAGAGGTTATCGTGGTTATCATGTTCAAACTTACAACTCCCATCCTTTCGCAGAAACTTCTCCTCGTGGACAACGAATTCCAAGTGACTAAGGTGTCCAAAACCTTTCCTCCCCACCCTTGTTACCAATCCAGTCCTCGGGCTGTGTTCGAGTGTTAGCCTTGACGTTAAGCTTCCTGTGCTTTAAGTGGCCAGGCTAGATCAAAGGCGGGTGAAGCCCACTCTCAAGCAAAAACCTAGCGATCAAGTTTTGTATCAATGCACCCAATGCAAAACAGCGCGTGACAAAATTGAGCTAACCTAAGCGGCCCCGTTTGACTAAACAACACACCACGATTGACCGGCGTGTTAGAAACTACCCTCTCATCCCTTGGGCTTTGGACAGTCATTTCAACCTCAAAACCTCACAAGGGAACCTATATAGGTATGTCAAGAATTGTTTAACATGTTCAGATTAGATAACCAATTAATTAAACTTAATGGATTATCGTTGCACTCATTAGATCTGAAGGATCATTCGTCATGAAATTGCCAGCTTGAATTGGATAAACGGGACACTGATTTGAATGAGACAGAACCGTGAATTCAATAATCAACCATGAGTTGTATTCTGGCTGGATCTTGATTCATCAAGGTGGACGAGTTTGATGTAGATAAGCAATACCTGATTTGTTGAGGAGACCTCTTATCCTATAATTTGCTGCAAGCCATACCTAAACAAATTACATATAACCAGCCTCGTTTTATTTCTCTTAAAATTCCTTGTGCTAGCTTGTATGGGGCCCTTTAACTATAGCCTAACGTTTAGGAATTATGGACCTAACAAAGCGTCCGCCTCTGTCGGATCGTCTGGGCTCTATTTCTCAACAATAACCTCTCAATTATTGGTTGATCCTTACTAATACAACTGAAAACTTACAGCGAGTGGAAGGCTTTCCCCTCTACTACGCGTTATGCAAATAAACAATGCTGTTTATTAGTCTCTGATCTCTTTTCTCCACTGACTGCGTAAACGCACGATACCAGAAGCATGATTAATTCCTAGCGGCCGTGATGATCGTTAAGAACAATACTTTTATTTTTGCGTCAAGCCAATAATTCTTGTCGTATCGATGAAGGGAACGTTTGTAATATCAGGGCATCTGTATACCACTACGTGATAGACTGTGTGTATCGCCCTCAATTTCGATTACGTTCTTAAGATGCCTGATGCCTTTTTTTTGATGGTGTGTCAGTCCAGCAACGTCTTCTAGAGGATGATAATTCTGTGAGTTCGGGCATTGCATACAGATCCCAGCAAAGAACGAACATCTGAACGATTGACTCAAATTCCACTTTTAAGAGCTAAAACGACAGAAATGTCGTGCGCTTTTTTTTTTATCATATATATCTTATTAAATCTCCATCAGGTACTTAGACCCTGTCCATCTTAAACAAATGGGGTTAAGGTCTGGTAGCGCACGTGACGTTCGCACACCATCGGTTTTCGAACGTCACGCGAGCTGGGGTTAGTCTGTGTCCGCCATGTTGATCGGTCAACAAACATTAGCGAAACGTTAACTCTGCATCATTTTGGCGCTACAGAAGACCCATATGTTCAGAGAATATGTCTGAAATTAAGTATTGTGACCTATTTAATATAAGGACGAAAATTGGCGTAAACCAATCGGAAAGATTGGTTTTTATGTGTAGAAAGCAGATCTCAAAAGGCAGTAAAATAACGACTCAAAATGTACTCGGATTATTTGAAGAACTTGAGAAACAGGATAACCTCGGAATCGACCGGTTAGGAATTTTGAAAGAGATTTTGAAACAGTCGAAGAACCGATCCATGCTCAAGAAGGTGGAAGAGTTTGAGATCAAGAAAAAAGGTGCCCAATTAATGCTAGTCATATTTGTTGGGTTATTGTTATTATTGTTTTGAAATTCAGCGAAGGAAATTTGAAAAGTCGGGAGTGCCTTTTCGCCCGAGAACTTCAATTCAAGGCTTACAGCTTCTTCATTAATTGCAAGGAAAACGATTTCTTGTTAAGAGGAATAATTCATCAATTTAATAATTTTATTTAGCAGTTGTTGCTTTGGATTATCTTATTTTTAAGTTTATTTTTTTGATTTGTAATAATTCAATTATGAGAAATTAATCTGTGACCCAATTTCCGTTTTTTAGGGTGTTTACCATGGAATAGAAAATTGTATAAGTTCAGGTATGCATTAAAAATTCACAAAATATTATTTTTGGCACATTTGTAATTCAGTTTATAAAAGACAATTCATAGACTTGGGCTCTTAAAAGAGCTACTTTTACATCTAGTAATGAAATGAAGAGTTTTTTCGTGATATGTTTTGTTGAATGTTACAGTAAGCATATTAATTTGTTCCATTGTTTAAAATAGGTAGAATCCAAAGGATAAACTTCTCCTTATCTTTGATGCTTTTATAATTGGTCCAATGGATTAGATCTTTGGACTAGGCTTCAGATTAAGATCTCTTGGAGCTCTACTCTGTGTTTGAATGTGTAACCTACATACACATGGAAGGTATTTATACTGTAACAGAGTTAGAGGAGAATTGTTATCAAAACCTATGATCCACTCAATATCAGGATTTGTTCTTGCTTTTTATTAACATTTTTTTCTGCTCCAATTGTGACTTAAACGTGGTAAGTTGTGCAAGGGAGAAAAAAAATTGTCAAGGCAGCCCTAAGAGGCTGGGTGGATGGTGCCTATATAATAGTACAATTGATGGGGGGATGGTTTGATACCCAACTAACTTTGGGAGACATTGACAAAATTGTGCTCTGTGACTATCCTCTGTTACTGACCTTCAAGCAACTTGCACAGGATCTGTACCTGAAAAGATTTTGATTTTTTTGTTGTTGGAATAAAGGAGTTAAAATCATATTTTTGTGCTCTATTATCTCATTGTTTAGTAAAATACTAGAACATTTATTTACCTCAGTTTGGGTGGCTAGTGGTGAATATTTATGTTGCAGCTCAGTAAATATTTATAACAAGCCACTTCCACTTAAATGACAAATTGTTAAAAAAGTTCAGTACTTCATGGTACTTGCATGTCTTCTTTTTTAATGTTTACAGGGATTTGGTAATGTTGGTCTTCACACCTGTCATTATCTTCACCGAGCAGGAGCTAAGTGTATTGGGATCATGGAGAAAGAAGGAAATCTCTTCAATGCTGATGGAATTGATCCTAAAGAATTTGAGAACTACAGACTGGTACAATGTGTAACTTTTTACATGCAGAGTTCTCTGTAGTGTTTTTTTATAAGTTTTATTTTAAAATTTCTTCAGCTAACAGTTGCATATTAATTCTTTCCCTTTTTCTCCAGGACAATAATGGCTCAGTTAAAGGTTTCCTAGGTGCAAAGGTTTGTGAAATACTATGAAAAAAATAACTGTCAGTAATTTTTACCTTTGTGTAAGGTTTTGCTGATTTTTCATGGCTAATTAACATTTTTGTTAAGGTTTACTAACTCAATTGTAGACAATGATTTTGAAAAATATTTACAGTCATGCAATGTTTCAGATGACCGAGGAGAACCTTAATTGTAGAAGCAGAATGTGACATATTAGTTCCGGCAGCCAATGAAAAACAAATCACTCTTAAAAATGCACACAATAACAAAGCAAAGGTACGTTACTAGTTGTATTTTTTTATTTAATTTTTGTGCTGTTATTTGGTTGTTAGGTTTTCAAGCTTGGTTGCTCACTAGTAAGAACGGTTATCCCAGTTTGTAGGGGAATGGGAATCTATAATAATTCGTCAGGGTTTCCTGACATATTTGGTGATGTTTATTTTTGGTTGACTTTTTAACTCCCAGTGACCAGTGATTAATTCTTAGATAATTTTCATTTGGCTAAATTTATGAATGAGCTTTTCCATGGAGGATATCTATTGTAAAAGCATCTACTGCAGCGGTCATGTGTCCATGATGATTGTGTGTCTTTGTAAACTGGATGAAAAGAATGACAACGTTTTGTTGCCTTTTCTGAATTTTGAATCACACAGCAGTCGCATTCTTTGGTCATAACTGTAAAACAACGACACTTGACATAGCTTTAGCACGTTTTAGGTCACAGTTGTTTTTGAAACCGCAACATTACGAAAGAAATAGACAGTAAAATGAGAAAATGAGAAAATGTTCCATCAATAAATAACGGAAAGCTCTTGTCACTTTTAATGGGCTTGATTTGGGATTTTCTTAGGAAACCTGCGATCTTCTCTTTTTATGATTGAGATCTTGTTTCGCCACAATTTGATGAGAACTATAAGTTAAGATTATTTTACTGAGAAGTGAAAAAAAACCGCTCGTTTTAACTATTTATCTGAGGTGTTTTTTGTACTCCAGTTTTCCCCGTTAAATTAAACTCGTCATGGAGCGTGGTGCTTCTTGATCGGTCTTTTTTGTAACCAAATAGCTCTTCAGTGCACAGGCGTAAAGAAATTCAAAACTCAAGCATCTTTCATAGCGTGCATTTCCTTTTCTACTATTGTGAGTTACTTAACGCTCTATCTCTAACTAGTTGATTTTAGTGTTCTTTTCTGTTGCACACGGCGTGCACGTCTTAAATGTGCGGTAACATACGTACCACTTCTATTTGCCCTTGTCGGTTTACCAAATTGTAATAGTGAGTGGAGCAAAAGTATTGAGAGTAATAAATGAGACTCGTCTTTCAGAAAGTTATGTAACCTTCAGGCTTAGGGCTCCGCCCTTTCTTCCTGAGGAACCGAGGTGCACGTGCGCAGTTTTCTGGGAAATTAGTTGCGTGACTTGTATTGCCGTGATGTCTTGTATCCGCCATGTTGGATCCATGAAGAGATTACTAAGCCTTTTGCAATAGGAAGAGAGAATTGCTACGGTCATAGATTTAATATGTCTGCCACTGAATACAATAACTTACTCTTCGCAATAAGTCGGAAACTCGACGAACTGAATGCACTCGATCACCTTCTGTTCATGTGCAGAGGGAAGCTGGCGTCTGGCAGCGAAGGCAACATCCACGATACTCTGTCGTTGTGTAAAGAGTTAGAGGTAAATAATAATTTAGGAAGTGATCGCCTCCAGCTAATGAAAAGACTGTTGAAGGGTGTCGAAGACTGGGCTCTTCTTGAAAAAGTGGAGAGATTCGAGTGCAAAAGAAAGGAATACAAGGCCTTGCTTGAAAAGATAATTTCTTCACTCGACGCGCTCAATGATTTGGAACGACTGATCGCGATATGCAGGGGAAGTGTTCGCGAAGGGAGTGAAGGCAACATTCAGGATGTTCGCTCGCTGTTTAGAGAACTGGAGAACCAAGACAATCTTGAGATTGACTATCTCGATGTTGTGAAGAACATTCTAGCTGAAACAGAGTCAAACGAGCTTTTGAAGGAACTTGAAGAGTTCGAAGAACGAAGAAATCAGGAAGATAAATCCGAAGCGAGGAAAGGTATTTCAATCTCTGTTTTCTGTTTTTAATGGTCAACAATAACTTTGATATGCTCGCGATAAAAAGTATAAAAAGTCCCTAGTATTTGTTGCCGCTCTTGTCCTCTACAAGCTGTACATCATCCGGGTTTGAGTGTGGGAATTAATGAAATGTTCAAGAACCTCACTTTATTCATCTTCGGTTGTAGGGAAACAACACTGCAAAGAAATGCGACAAAACATGAGAGACAGGTTGATTCTTTTTGTAGACGCATAACAGTCTGGTCTAAAGTCTGAAAATTTTCGCGTTTGCTTCGTGTGTTAGTGGACCTGTTTCACTTACTGAGCTCTCGCAATTTTTGTTTACAAATTAGTAGAAGTTGATAATACTTACTGAATTAATCGCTTCGTTGGGCTCACGGTTATGTTTGCTACCAGACAATCAGTTGTCTGCATAAGATGAAATTTTATGGCATACAATTCTAATAAATTAATTGAAAAGAATTAACCTATTTCAAATGTGAAATTTAAAAACGAGCACCAGAACTTTGAGGGAAACACTAAATAAAAACAACTTATCTCTGCGATAGATGTGAAGGTCAGTTTGACAAACTTATTTACGATCCTACCTGCAGTGTAAAATAGAAGGGAAGGTTGCAGGTAGGGTTTATCTGGCGTATACAACCCTGCTCCCAGCTTCTTTTCTCTTATCCTTTCTTGAGGAATGTTGAAGTGTGTAGGCTGGTTGTCTTTGACATCATCTCGTAGGAGACTGTAAATCCTCTGAGTTTTAGTCTCGAGAAATTAGGGAGATATGCCACATGTGGTAATGTGATAATGTGATAATAACATGTGAAATCAACTTAGACATTTCCTGAGACTGGCAGGGAGCTTTCCACCGCAATATTTACCTCCTGAAGAACTGTTTTGTTTTTAGAATCCCTCCTTGAGTAGGTTACCAACTATCTTGAGATCCTTGTCCTTAACCTTCAAGTGGGCTTATTTAACGGTGCAGCCGACTTAGTTACTTAGCATTCTTGATGTAAATCTCCTGAAAGAGAGAAAGATCCTGAGACAGCTTTTTCTATGATGGGCAGAAAGAGTTGTAGTTCACTTAACTGTCTGACACCTGCTGTTCCCTTTATATAGCACAAAGAGCTGCTCTTATGTCATCCGTTAGAAGCACATTGGTTGGAGGTAAGCCAGTTAAAATTTTTCTTGGTAAATTCTCTTAAAAGGGTTCACCCTGTCCCCTGGACGCGACAGTTTTAGGCAATAAGGGAGGACAGGACGGGGCCGTTATCAAAAAGTCTTGGCAATGAGTCAACATGAAACGCATTCTCCTTTGCGGTTCGAATTAGTTGGAAAAACAACACCACCATCCTTTGTAGAATGAGTCATGTCACAAAACATATACATATTTTTATTGTTTTCAGTGGTGAACATTAAAACAGTATTCAAATTAGTTGCTGGCGGCCTTACAGCCGTTTCTGCCATGGAGGTGTTGAGTCGTTGGTCCTCATTTGATCAGCTGGTTGCAGCCGTACGAACCTGTGTGCTTCCAGCCGGCACAAGGCTGGTTCAAATTACTGATGGCTGTGTGTGCCTCACAGTTCAAGCTGAAAGTTTATCAGCTCTTAAACTTTTGTGGAAGTTGTATCAAGATGGAACCCTTCAAAAAAATCTGCACGATTTCTTTGTCACTGATGAGTTGAGAGAACTCGCCGATGGAGAAGATATGGAAGTGAATGTCACCATCGATGAAGGCGAATATCAGAAAGCTTGTATCGAGCTCATACAAGGGACCCAAGGTGACCCTGCATTGCTATGTTTGACTCAGTTTTAGTGAATCTCTGAGCCCGGATTTCCATATGGATCTTGTTAAATGTTCCTTGATAGATACCTTTTTTCGTTACCGCTTTGAGGGTAAACAACCAAGAAAGAATACGACTAAGGGCATGGTTGTCTACCGCATATACCACCCTTAATATTACAGTTCGAAACCAGATACAGGCACCGTTTTTCAACAATTTAACCTAAGTTTTTATCTGTTCCTACCGCTTACCTATAGTGTGTTCATTTGAAGTGTAAATTTATCGTGCTAATAATATCACTTTTACAGTTACCATTTTTAAATTTTATTTTACTTCTTTTAGGAGGTGCTACGATTGATAATTTTAAAAGGAAACGGCGAAACTCTGATTCAGCTGTGTATTTCAGCCCAAAAGAATTGCCAGTGTCAAGGCTTAAATGTCTAGAAACGGCAGAGGAAAATCCCCACAAAAGAAGAAAAATAGAAGAAAAAAAAGAGAATTTGGGATCCCACCCTTGTGAGGAAAAGGAAATTGCACCTATAGGATCACCCGATGAAAGTTTTGGTAAGTACGCTTTTTGAAATTCATACCAAGTGTGGTTGCTTGGTCGTTTGTCTGGTTGTTTGTGGTTTGCCGTCATTGTGAAGAATCATCCTTGGCATTTCGTTTAGTTTGTTATGTTTTTGCGGACTTAAACATAACTCATAATCCTGGTCATTTCTGGTCCCTAAACTAACTTTGGAGAAACTTTTTAGGTTTGAAAAAATTGTCATGGAAGTAAAGCCAAAATTCTTGGGCGTTTTGTTCTTTTTCTTTTTCTTTTTTTCTTTTGTCTTTTGTCTTTTTTTTAATACCTTACCTCCTTCTCCAAATGGTCTGAAAACTGAATTCGTGGTACTAACTGTGAGGTAATCTGTCCTAGATAACAAACCATGTGACCCCAAGAAGATGGAAAAAGACACTCTAAAGATGGAAGGATTAGAAAGACGCGAAAGTGAACAATTAATTAAATTAATGGGCGCCAAAAAAATGGAGTTTGTACAGAGGTATTTAGAGAATGTGCAAGAGACATGCAGTATGACGACTGAGGCAAGTGACAGCGGTTTGGGAACACTTACTGTTATATCCGAAGAAGGAATAGAAGTCGTGAGAGGTAAACTGGTTTAACTGTCATTTCTGTTGTTATTTCTTATGAATCGATGTCAACGGTGACTCATTACAAATATCAAGTTTTCGATGAGTAAAGGAAGAGTGTTGTTAATCAGAGCTTAATGCGACAAATTGCATCCAAATTTGCGTTTGAAGAAGAAAGGAGTATTTTTATTTTGATTTGTATTTCTATTTTAAGTTACATGCAGTTTAAGACGTAGCGCTCGATTGAACTCAAGCCGCAAAAAAAGATCATCGATATTCTTTTTAGTTTACCCAATGAGAACAAAATAAGTCCAACATAGGGTGTGGTCCATTTTCCGCCCTTGAAAAGTATTCTGTTCTGAAAAGATGGCATAGCTACCATGAATGACACCATATGTCTGACGTAGTTTCGTGTAGGAATTTTGATTCGGTCAACCTCCATTATCTGCCTCCTTTCCACCACGTCGACAACCATTAAGGCTGTTCAAAAATAATCACTCGAGAAAAGCTGTTCAATCACCAACGGACGAACATCAAACTTCGAGGCTATTCGCTGAGGCAGACAACCCTTGAAATTTTTAATGCACTTAAGGGAAACACAAATGTCTCCAGTGCCAAAGGTGAACGTTTAACAAACTGCTTTTAGTCACCCTTCATTATTTATTTTCCTTTGTTGACATTCAGTTTTTCGCCCAAAATCAAATTTTTTTTTGTGTTTTGATTCATTTAATAGTATTGTTCATTTTATACCAATATTATTTTAAAAAACTGTCCAACCTACAGAAAAAATAGATGCTACATTACATCCCTATCTCCCTTTGACAACATTCTCTCTACAAAGGTCGCTCCTCACGGTGCCAAAGGTGGCCTGATTGGAGAAGTTTAACCGTAATCAAATATTTCTAATCGTTATTTTTCCTTTCAACCTTACTCAGATTCTAAAACACTTTGCGTAAAAGATCTGAGGGAAGAGTCAATTAACGAACTGGATAAGATACTTTCTTCTGATAAAGTTGGGTTGGAGAGGGTTTTTCGATTTTTTGGTGTTAAAGTGGACACAAGAGTTATCACGCAGAAACATGTTTCTGCTATGAAGTCGATTGCAAAAAGCTATCCTAACACTCCTGTTGACCTAATACGGCAATGTTTCGAGGCTCTGCAAATGTACGATCTTGTTGACTTTCTGGAGACGGCGGTGAAACCAATTTCACTTCGTCCTGTCCTTTCCCCGGAAGAAGTCGAGACGTTACGCACTGGTGATCTTCCCACAAAGTCTCACAACAATGTGGCAGTGCTGGTAGTAAATTTCAGTGCGGACAAGGACCTCAATCAAAAGATCGAGCGATTTTTTAAAGATTTAAATTCACAGAACAATGTCACAATAACTGGATCTTCTTTCTCGGAAGAAAACCGCAAGAAAGTGAATGATTTGAAAATTAAGCAAATGGACAAGCAAAAACTAAGCAAGCAGTTGGAGGAACTTCAGAGTGCAACCAGCAAATGTGCAACGAGCAACATAGCATCTGATTCTTCTTATCTTAGAGACATCGAGGTTAAAGTCGCACAACTTGAAAAAGAAATAGAGATGAACAAACCGCTTGTGGAGGAGCTACTGAAAAAGAATGAGGAGACTAAGACGATCATAACGTCTACAATGGACAATTGGATTCAGAATCAAGGTTGGTTGCAAACTACTTTCTAAGCATGACAGTGTCGACTGTTTGAGATAGTTCATTATATTAAGGTTTGAAACACTAAAGAAACAAACGTTGAGGCTCACACATCTTGGAGCAGTTTGAAGGATACGAAACAACAGCAGCTGAGAAATTGACTTACGAAATAATCATAATTTTATTGTTTTTATTGTTTTCGTTCAACAGAGAAATTCACCGCGGTTGTTTTAGCTTTCATCGTCGACAAAAGGGAATCAATCGAGGATTTTGATGTTTCATCAGAATGTGTGAAGTCCAAGTTGACATCGCTTCCAGATCACACGAAAATTTTGGTCGGTGGTCCATGGAGGAAAGTGATTATTGATATTCCTGAGTTTCTATCTGTCGGTACTCCAATCAGGCTAATGAACTCCTCGATAGTCAATTCGATGATTGAGATTTTCGCCAAGCGATACCACGAAATGGATCTCGCGTCAATGTTGAGAGAATTAGTAAGAAAACAAGTTATAGTTTCGGGTGAAATCCGAAGCCATCTTTCTACTCATGCAAGGTTTGAGAAAAGGAAAGAACAGAAGCTCGAGCGAAGCTAAAGATATGTGAATTTGACGGAACACTATTTGAAATAGGAAACATTATCAACAACTAATAAATGACCAGTCATCCGATTATTATTTATCGTCAAGGGGGTGGGGGTGGAGGTAGAGGATATTTGCTGTTAAATTTACCTAGTTCCCCCTTAGGGCTCTGTCGTATTCTTACGATCCTCTCCTCACTGGCAGTCAATCGACTGATCCCCCTCCTTTCCCCCTAAGAAAAAGAACCTCAGGTAATCTTCCCAGAATCCTCCACTCCCCCTCCCTAGGGGATAAATAACTACTGGTTCCCAACAGAATAATACGCGCCATCCCATTGTTGTATTTTTCTTGTTTTCAAGTATCAGGGTTATTCAAACTTTTTTTCTTATATTAGGGAGGAAATGCAATTTACTTTCAAAGATGTTCATCATGCAGTTGCGGACAAATTTATTTGCAAAAGCACGACCAATGAAACCTGGGAAAGGAATATACCTGAATCTCCTTTCAAGGGAATATTATCAAAACGATTTTCTTTTTTGAAATTATCCTCTCGGGGGTTTGGTTAATGTTGTCTCTTACTTAGAACTGAACATTAGAGTTGCAGTGGTTTCATGACGCGAAACTAGAATGAACTCGAGCATACGCGCACGCAAGACAGTTTTCTCTTTACTAGCATTTACATCTTTCGTCCACTTCGACGCTTTGCCCGCTGCGTTGCATCTCCAAGTAAGGGAAAAAGAAAAACCACCAGTATCTATAGAGATCACCTCTTATGAGTAAGATATTGATCGATAGCTTTTTAGGTTGGCAGGTTGGTGGATGAGTACAGAATTCATAAAGCTGACAATTATTACACGATGTAACCGAACATCCAAAGCTGATCTATACAAAACAACAACAGTTCAGATAACTATATTAATATACCATGTAGGAACAGATTATGATGAAAAATTTTTGTAACAATGCGACGACAATATTTAGAAGAAAATGACTTTAGTGACTCAGAGTTTTGCTAGAATTTATGGTTATGCATGGATTATTAGCTGCGGAAAAAGCAGTAGTTCCTTTAACGAGATTTAAAA